AAATACAATCCTGAGCAGCAACTGCTGTTGACATTGTTGGACTTCAAATTTGTGAAGCCCCAAGGTTTTTAGTCAACCAATAGCTTTCCTTTCCCCAGCGCCCTGCTACTGCCCCCACTTTCCACCGCTGCTGGCCCCCTGACCCCCACTGCCACTCCTCATCACTACTTATCCCCCCACACCCAGCCACTGCTACCCCCCCCAATACCCGCCGCTCTGCTTCTCTTCCCACGGCGCCCCATCACCACTCCCCAGTCAGGCCCCCACCCTTGGCCAGGTCATCGTACAGGTGCTTCACCACCTGCCTCAGTCAAACTCCCGCTAGTCGTTACTGTCTCAAACTCGGCCCCTAAACTCAAATTCTTTATGAAGATGAACGTCATTAACAGGAACAAGCTTCTGGGCACAAAACATCTTATTAAGTCTACCTAACTCAATGATGTTGGGCAGGTTTTAGAACTTACATGCTGAGGCTATGAAGGTCTGGTAACCTAAACAATGAGGATCACAGTCTGATTAGATAGTATTTCATTTTGTACACGGGACTGCCACACATCAGATGATTCAATCGCTATTAACAACTCCTATGAAATGACTGTCATACTTAAGTTTTCTGGTACCAAAGAAAGAATGGATTTTCAGAGAGGTTAAGTTGTCCAAAGCTGACAAAGGCTTAAACAGTCTACTTCTACAGCCTACATTTCTAACCACTGCGCTACAAAGCATGTGAATGATGTCCCTCGAAGCTAAATATTAACATAAAACCAGTAAAGGAGGAGGAAAATAAAAGATAAAACAGGACAAGAGAAGTGGAAGAGGTAAGGAGAAGAGGGAGAGGGTAGACCATTGCTTTGGGAACCAGCATGCCTGAAGGTGGAAACCATCATATGCTAAAAATAAACTCTCACTAGCTTAGGGATGCACATCTTCCTTCTCTTTCTATGGTTTTATTGTGGAACCAAGGAATTCTATTTGGAGGCTACAAAACAGGAAGCAAGTTCCCTTTCCATTAAACTTGTAAAAATACAAAACACACAAAAATATTATGAGGCCATACTGTCCACATAGGATTTGACAAGTATGTAATATTGTTTTGGAAATTTGAATCATATTTCTTACCTCTAGTCGACGAATGATCTCTCGAAGTGGAAGAGCAGATTCATTTCCCCCAATGAAGGTTGTGGTGGGCAAGTGGAAGACTTTGTCGAGGTCAGATTCATGCAGTCCATAAAACCCTGCAGGATTATTGTGGGCAGGACAAGCCAGATGAGACATGTCTTTATAAAACATGAAATAGTCACATAGGGACTAACATTTCATGGAAAAGGGAAGGAACTTTTCCCAGAGAAGAAAAATGAAGAGGGAAAAAAAGTCACATGATAAAACCCCGATGGATTTATATGAAAATGGATTCTATTTTATAGCCAGAAATACAATTTTTGAAATAGCTGAGATCTCTGGATATCACTAGTAAACCAGGGAAAGCTTCATGTTAGGCACAGGACTGTTTTCAGTAGAGTACAAACTATTCACAAGTTAGAGACAAATTTATTTCAAAGTCCCAAGGCCAATAACTCAAGTTGGGAATGGAATGAATCACAAAGTGGCGACAAGCAAGTCAATCTAAAAAGCAAGTAAAAATAGTTAAGAAGCGAACTAAAGTATAAAAATGAGAAATTATGATAGAGTAGCAAATTATTTAGGTATAATATGACAATAAAATATGCAAGCAGTAGTGACAAAAAGTTGAAAAGATGCATTACCACAAAACCAGTCTGGTCCATAGCAGAATTAAAGTAGGGCAATAAAGGTAGTACCATCCTGTAGCTAATGATAGCTTTCTTACAAAAATACCCTAAACACTGCCTTCTATATCTCTCTTACACGTAGTATAGTCAGCAGTCACAAAGCTCATCTTCCTCCCAAAAATTAAATCAGAGAGATTTACTATAATAACAAACAGCAAAGTGCAAAGTGCTTCCTTGTTTGTTAGTGTATTTCAAATGGACAAAAACAAATGGGAAGGCTCTTTATTTGCCGTTAATTCATATCCCAATAATGATCAGAGGGGAAACACACTGGACATGTTTCTCTTCATGATGCTCACAGGTTCCTTTTACAGTTTGGCCACCTCTCCAGAGATAATGTATTGCTGAAGTACAGTAAAGGTATACAAGGAATCATTAATTCTTAAGTATTTTATACTATTATAGTCTCAACTTCCAAGAATGAAAGGGGAAATATGTAAAGTCTCCAGCACATATAACATGCTTTCATTGCTTCCTCATTAAAGTAAATGCAAAGAAATGCAACTGTAAGACTTAAGGTATGAGATTAGAACAATCATTTGCAAACACAATCCTGTCCAAAAGATTCGTGGAGAAAATAATGAAAATGCCTACTCTGAGGCCACAACATCTTCGGTAGGCCTAAGAAACTCCCCAAATAACACTATTTCAAGTCAAGTTTGGGCAAAACTGCCTTCATTTCTCTTAAGCATTAAGATACAATTTGAGTTTTTGTTGTGTTTTTTTTTAAGATATAGCTTTTAAAGTTTTAAAAGAGAACTCTATGTCCTAAGTAATTTTTGTTTTATTAAAAGTAAATTTGGCTTTTCCCTATAATAAACTATATATCAAAAAAAGAAGACAATGACATTAGCAATGGTCATTAAACCTGTCCACCCCTTTCCTTTCATGAGTCTATCAGGAATGAGGACGGTAATCACAAGACAAGTGAAAGACTGTTCTCAACACATGCAGACTGGCTCACTGACAATCACCATGCAGCCTGTTTGGCAAAATAAAATCCACCTACCTTTGGGTAGAGGTAGTCCAGAGACCAGTAACTTTCTTCTCTAAGAAATAATAAGCTCTCACCATAATAAGATAAAGGTAAATAATCCAATAGAAAAATGGGCACAGGTTATGAACAGACACTTCACCAAAGAAGACATTCAGATGGCCAACAAGCACATGAAGAAATGTTCAAAATCCCAGCTCTAAGAGAGATGCAAATCAAAACAACCATGAGATATCATCTCACTCCAGTCAGAATAGCAAAACTTAACAGAAGAGCAAACATCAAATGCTGGCGAAGTTGTGGAGAAACTGGAATCCTTATTCACTGTTGGTGGGAGTGTAAAATGGTGCAAACACTATGGAAGGCTGTATGGCACTTTCTCAAAAAGTTGCATGTAGAAAATACCATTTGACACAGCAATTCTACTACTGGGAATTTGTCCTAAAGAAACCCTAACTTCCACCCAAGCAGACATATGCACACTCATGTTTATTTCTGCTTTATTAGCAGTAGCAAAGAGCTGGCAACAACCCAAGTGCCCATCAACAAATGAATGGACAGAGAAGCGATGGTACATTCACACAATGTAATACTATGCTGCATTGAAAAACAAGGAACTCATGAAATATTATACAAAATGGGTGATCCTGGAGGATATTATGCTAACTGAAATATCTCAGACACAAAAGGACAAATATTGCATAGTGCCACTGTTTTAAAACAGTGGGGATAAATAATGTATACTGCATTGAAACAGAGAGAGAACTGCTTATAAGGGATACATGATTAGGTATTACTGTCATGACTGGTGTCCAGAACAAAGGCTGCATAGTGGAGTGGAGTTGGTGGGAGGGATTGTATAACAATGCAATAATTTTTTCATTTACTTTTCAAAGAGAAGAGCCAAATGGGGGGGAGGGGTAAGCAGGGAGAAAAGTGCAACAATGAATGAATGGAAATCCAAAGTCTCTGTAAACTTTCATTAACATTAATAATAATAACAAAAAAAAAAGAAAGCTTGTCAGTAGCCATCTAAAATAGGACTATACTGGTCTCTATTTATCCAGAGGCACCAGGAAAGAAGAAAACAAAAGACTCAGAAGATACTGTAACAGACAGATCCCAGTAGGAGAGAAAAAGGCACAGCAGAGCCTCAAATCCCTAAAAAAATCAATCAAAGAACAGCAATGTATTCATTTAATTTTTGTATATACCACATTTTGCTTATTCTTTCACATAAATATTTTTAACTTACTGTGTGACTTGGTTTAAGTTTACAATGCAAATTGATTTTCCATTCGGCAATTCAAATACATGTTGTTTCAAATCACTGATTACCTTTAAGCAAAGTTAAGAATATAAGAAGACAGGGAAATAAGATTAACAGAAATGGACCAAGCAGAACAGAAATACTTAAGAAGAAACAAAAAAAGAAGGTGAGAAAAAAGAAATACTTAAGAATATTGTGATCAACGTAATCAACGTCACTGACCAATGCACACATTGTTAAATGGGAACCTAAAAGTGCAAAGGAAGAGGACAGTCAACCATGATTTCCTCTCCCCTTACCTCTGGACTAACAAAAAAAAAAAAAAAAAAGGGGGGGGGGACCTAAACTGCTGTGTTAACTTTTAATGAAAACAGAAAAATTTTAAAATATATTAAAAACTAAATCAAAGTAATCTATCACATTAAATGGTTAAAGATATTATGACAATATTAACTGATGAACAAAAAGCATTTGACACCACAACAAGATAAAGGTAAATAATCCAATCGAAAAATGAGCACAGGATATGAACAGACACTTCACCAAAGAAGACATTCAGATGGCAAACAAGCACATGAAGAAATGTTCACAATCCCTAGCTCTAAGAGAGATGCAAAT